GTAAAGACTTGTGTCGTTAAAGTTTCGTCGGAACGAAGTTACGGAAAAATCAATTGACAAACGGAGACGTAACAGCAGTATATTTGGCAATGAGCCTGAAGGGACAACCACTGGAAATACTTGGACAGTTGTCAGCAGATCACAGGCACAACTATAGAGCACTGGTAGCTGCTCTAGAACTCAGGTATGGAACCCAAAATCAGTCTGAAGTCTATAGGGCTAGGTTTAGGACGAGAGTCCGTGCTAAAGGGGAGAGCCTGCAAGAGCTGGCACAGGATTTGGAAAGTATGGCACATAAGGCCTACCCAACTGCACCACCTGATGTCCTCAAGCTGTTGCTGAGGGATCAGTTCGTAGATGCCTTGGACAATCCACAACCGAAGATACAAGAAACGCTAGCACACCCCCTCTACTATGCAGGATGCAATGGCCAGGGCTCTTTAATTCGAATCCTATGTTAAATCTAGTACAGAGGTACCAAGGTTGGTACAGTCATCGAGATTCAAGGCCAGAAGACGGCAGCTCTCAGAAAAGTTTGAGGGACTTTGCTGGCACTGTAACAAACCAGGGCACAAGAGAGCTCAATGCCGGCAACTTCAACACAGGAAAGATGCCACAACAGGAAAGGCTGCTACACAGAAAGGTTGTTGGAACTGTGGAGAGCAAGGACATATGAGGAGCCAGTGTAAGAATAATACTACCAATAAGTCAGCTTCGGGAACCAGTGGTTGGTGCTGAGGGACGCCCACCAACCCCCACTGTGAAAGTCCCAACAGCTTAGTGTAAAATGCCAAGTACACATAGTGTCTACGTGACAGGAAAACTGGAGGGCCAAAGGTGCAACTTTGTCATAGATTCTTCATCTCAGCAAACCCTTGTGAGTATCAAGGTGCTGAATCACAAAGGAGTGCCATACAGAAGCTCTGTGGTGTGACAGGACATTATGCAAGGTTGTGGGGTCCAGTGTGGGTAACTATTGAGCTCATGGGCATGAAGGACAGACACAAAGTATACTTGGCTGACATTGAAGACGAATGCATATTCGGGTTGGACTACTTACTACCGAGGAAGTGTGTAATTAATTTTGATAAAATGACGTTTGGAAACAACAAAGGCCAAATCCCGGTAAGTGTCAAAAGAGAGGTTGAACTAACCAGGTGCCATTAAGTTGAAGTCAAAGTGACTGAAGGAGATGATGATGGTGAAGTGGAACCAGGTATAGATATTAAAGCAAAGCAGGAGAAAGACCAAGATTTGAAGCCAATAATTGATTTTCTACAAGCAAGTGCGTTGTGCCCTGTTTGGAAGAAGATGTCTAGCTTAAGCCCTGTGACAAAGAACTATTGGGCACAATGGGACCAGTTGAAACTTGAAGACGGTATTCTTCTCTGGAGATGGGAAACTGCAGATAGGAAAGTGACGACCTGGCAAACAGTTATATCAAGAAATATATGGGAAGTTGTGCTGCGTCAATCCTATGATAGTTTAACATAAAAACATCTCGAAGTCAAGAAGACGTTGAGTCACCTACGACAGAGATTTTCCTGGATAGGTATAAGGCAAGATGTGGAAGAATGGTGCAGGACATGCAGTACATGTTGTGCAAAAAGGGGACCCAAGCATAAGGGACGTGCTCCAATGAAGTTATATCAAGTTGTCGCCCCAATGGAAAGAGTAGCTGTTGACATTGCTGGTCCTCTGCCCAAACTCGTGCTGGAAACAAGTACATTTGTATGGTGATTGATTATTTCACCAAGTTGCCTGAGGCATATGCAATACCAAATCAGGAAGCTGCAACTGTAGCTTCAGCTATTAGTGATTTCTTCTTCAGATTTGGTATGCCATATG